TTCTTTATTCCAAGGTAGTGTTTTGCATCTGACTAAATCTAGGTTTTATCCAGGGTGTACATGTGCTCCAGTTGTAGTCCACATGCAGGTATAAGTAGTGTGACCACATAATGAATCATCTGAACTAGACCAGTTTTGAAAGTGAAAGGTGAGCTATTACTCTGAGACAACAGTAATTATCTCTGACAAACCAAGATGTGTTTGTTATTGTTCAGCTATAAACTGTTCAAACTGTAGCACAGGTCTCAAGCAGACCATGAATTTACCAATCAACAAGTCAGTATCATTCATAATTTCTCAGGTGACCACCTAGCCTGGCAAGCAAAAAATCAGGGCCCCTGTTTCGAGGAATATAAGATGTTAATTCACAGGGTGACAATTTGCAGAAGACTAGCAAAAGTACAAGTTCTTGACTTTGGAAATCAAATTTTTCATTGTTGGATGCCAGTAGAGCCCTCTGAGCTGGCACACTACTGTGTGCCATTGTATAGGCTTTATTTGATCCACCCCACTTCCTTCCCCACCACTGGAACAAAAGATGAAGTGCCAGTGTTGGACTTATAAGTAGCCCACCTGCCCAGCCCCAGGAAGACTGCCAAGCTCTGCAAACCCTGACTATGCCACCTGTGCATTCGTTTTAAGATGGGACTTAAGACAGGAGGGTGCAAAAACAGAGATGGAGAAAAGGAGAAAGGAGCAGGGGGAGAGAAAGTGAGAGATCCAAGCGAAGACCTTTACTACTGGGTAGTAGGAGTTGAGAATTAAAGAACAGATAAAGCAGAGTGGGAGGGATAGGCAGGGCAGAGCATTAATAAAACAAAGTAAATTTTCTAGAACTGAACGAAGTTATTCTTCATATTCTTTTAAAATTCACTCAATGCCAGTAAAATGGAAAAAAATACACTCACCAAGCACAGACAGTTGTAAAATTTCAGACTAGTAGGGATAAACAGAACATCCTACAAGCTTCTGAAAACAATGTGAAGAGGAAGGAGGAATAAAAGGAGCAAGGCGGGGGCATCGGTTGGAGGGGTGGCCACAAGCCAGGAACTGCAGCAGCCCCTGAAGCTGGACCGGTAAGGAAAGGAATGTCTCCTAGAGCCTCCAGGTAGAGCGTAGCCCTGCCAACACCTTGGTTTCAGTCCACTGATACTGACTTCACATTTTGAGCCTCTGGAACTGGGAGAAATTAACCTCTGTTGTTTTAAGCCACCCAGTTTGTGGTAATTGGTTACAGCAGCCACAAGAAACCAACACAACAGGTTGCCCAGATGCACAGCACATTCAGGCCCTTCTGGAAGAAGTCAAAGGCTCCAGGAAAACTTTCTTTACAGGACAAAATTGACCAGATACTTGATGCATCTGTATATCCTGAGTGGAGAACTGGACAACTGGTGAAGCCTTGGGCACTGGTATAAAGACAAATCCAAGCCAGTTTTTAAAAAGCCAATATTTAATCCTAGGAAAAGAACAAAAAAGTCCAGGTAAAAGAGGGGAGAAACATTGCAAATTACATGGTTCATCTGTAAGTAGGACCTATATAGTCATAATAATACATATTGTTATAAAAGGAGAGAGGTGGAGTCTTTTAGTGGTAATGACTGCCCCAAATTCTCATCCTCCAAAATTGTCCCCAGTGGAGAACCACAGGAGAGCAGAGCTCAGCAGAGAGTTCTGCAGGCTGTCCCACTGAGCTGCACAGGGTGGTCCTGCTATTCCAGGAGCCTAGAAAACAGAGCATAGAGTCAAGGAGTATTATTCTCAAGCCTTAGGGTCTAATAGTATTTGCTCTGATAGGTTTTGGACTTACTTTGGCACTTTTTGGTCCTTTTTATTTTCCTATTTCTCCTTTTTGGAATGGAAATGTCTATCCTATTCCTACCTCACCAATTGCATTTTGGAAGCAATAATATGCTTGGTTTCACACATTCATAGCTGGAGAGAAATTTGCCTCAGGATGAATAAAACCATGAGTCTCACCCATACCTGATTTAGATAATATGTAGATAAGATTTTGGACTTAATACTATAAAGTTGATGCTAGATTGAGTTAAAAGTTTTAGAGTTGCTAGAAGGGAATAAATATATTTTGCATGTGAAAAGGACATGAATTTTGTGGAGCCAGGTGCAGAATGCAAGACTGAATGTTTATGTTCCCCCAGAATTCATATGTTGAACCTTAATCTCCAATATGATGGTATTTGGAGGTGGGGTCTTTAGGAGATCATCAGGTTGTGAGGGTAGAAACTTCATGAATGAGATTGGTGCCCTTGTAAGAGACCCCAGAAATCTCCCTCTCCCCTTCATTATGTGAGGACACAGCAAAAAATGGCTATCTATGAACCTGGAAAATGGCTCACACCAGACACCAAGTCTGTCAGCACCTTGATCTCAGACTTCCCAGTCTCCAGAACAGTGAAAAAGAAATGTTTGTTGTTTAAACTACAGAGTCTATATTATTTTTGTTATAGCAGCCCAGATGGACTAAGACAACCCCTGACCCAAATGAATGACAGAGAGACTCTAGTTGAAAGAAAGAAGACTTAGATCCAGGATATATTCAGAGAAAGAGAAAAAAAAATTGGAGAGATAGCTATGTCCTGGTGTTCTTATTTTTCAAGGCATACCATCCACTTCTTATCCTTTGATGCTTATGTAATTGTCTATTATTTTTGTACCATCAAACTTTTGTACCATCAAACACCAGCCTGAGTACCTTTCTGTTCTTGAAGCCGACATTTCTGATTTAGAAAGGGCATTTAGATACCTGTAATTTCTGTTCTTCTCTTATCTCATCTATGAAATGGGAATTATAATAGTACCTTCTTTGTACTGTTGCTCTGAGGTATATGTGATAATAAATGAAAAACTACCAGTATAGTTCTGGAAACACAGTAGGTGCTCAATAAATTGTGGCCATTAGCTTCCTATAAATGTATGCCTCCCATAAATAAACCACTAATTTACTAAGAATTCAAATTATTCCTGCTACTCTGTTCCTCCATTACTCTATAAATGCTTTCACTTTGAACAGGACATATGAGCTCCTTGATACCACACAGAATCTCAAAGGTCACTCCCTCTCTTTGTACTGCTGCCTGCAAGTCCAGGTGTGTGGGCAGGGAAAGCAGGCCAGTGGCCATTGTCTAGCAGTGGTTCTCCCTCTGCTGGGTGAAGGTAGTGTAGTCCCACTGTGGCTCTGCACCTGCAGTGAAGTTGGTGACAGACATCTAACAGTGTTGCTCCCTTGACAGTTCTAGAGAAAATATACCCTTTATGTTAGACCATATCTAATTAAGGAGTTGAATGCATTGTGTCCCCCAAGTGTTGATAAGATACTTACGGTTTATTAAAAATCAAACTCGTATTTTCTTTCTCATAGACATGGCACTGAATAAAGCACAATGGAAATGTGCAAGTGAATTTTCTATTTGCCGAAATCACCATTATTTAGTTTCTAACTTAAATGTCTTCTCTCTATAAAACCTCCTCTGAGTCCTTCCATCAGAATGCCTTCCCTCTGAGACAGCACATCTCACACAGTCTGACTTGAGCTGCCTACGTCCTTTTCCTTCACAGATCATCAGCTTCCTTTTACGGGTCATCATTATAGCTAATATTAACTGATGGTCCTACTTCTCACGCTCCCTGATAAGTGCTTTTAGTCCACCCATATTTTACAGCTGAGGAAACAAAGGCAAAGGACAGTTGAATAACAAGTCCAAGCTCACACAGCTAGTGTGGATAGTACCTGCTTGAATCCAAGCCAATGCTGTAACCAAAGCCCCATATTCCCTCATGGCACAGATGGAGGCCATTTCTTATACATCATTGCCACTCTACTAACTGCCTGGAACAGGAAGATGCCCAGTCAATGCCGAACAGCACTGCGTGGAGCAGAAATGCCATCTTTGGTGTCACTGACTGCTGTCTGACTTCTCTGCTATGAAGAGGAGGAGAGAGTGCTGGATCGAGCATGTTCTCTGGTTCTCAGCTTTCTCTGTCCTAGGTGATTTCTGCTGCTTACCTACTCCTCTTCCTTTCTAACTACAACATGTGAATTAGAAATTGGAGTTCAGTGTACACAAAGAGAATCTGAACACCCTGTGTGGGACTGAGAGAGAGAGAGAAAAAAATGGAATCCAGGAATAAGAGACTAAAACTTAGGTATAGGCTGGGAATTCCACTCCTAGGAATTTACCAAAAGAAAACAAGTTCTCAGATTCAAAAAGACATCTGCACCCCTATGTTTATTGCAGCACTATTTATAAAAGCCAAGATATGGAAGCAACCTAAGTGTTTATCAGTAGATGAATGGATAAAGATGTGGTACATATACACAATGGAATACTATTTAGCCATAAGAAAGCAACAAATCCTACCACTTGCAACAACATGGATGGAGCTGGAGGACATTATGCTCAGTGAAATAAGCCAGGCAGAGAAAGACAAATGTCAAATGATTTCCCTCATTTGTGGAGTATAACAATGAAGCAAAACTGAAGGAACAAAACAGCAGCAGACTGACAGACTCCAAGAAGGGACTAGTGGTTACCAAATGGGAGGAGTGTGGGAGGGCGGATAGGGAGGAAGGGAGAAGGGGATTGAGGGGTATCATGATTAGTGCACATGGTGTGGGAGGGGTCATAGGGAAGACAGTGTAGCACACAGAAGTCAAGTAGGGACTCTGTGGCATCTTACTACACTGATGGACAGTGACTGCAATGGGGTAATGGGCGGGGACTCAATAATATGGGTGAATGTAGTAAACACATTGCCTTTGTTGTGAAACCTTCAGAAAATTGTATATCAATGATACCTTAATAGAATAAAATAAAATAAAAAAACAAATGAAAATAAAAACTTACAGGGAAATATTTAACTTAATAAAATCAAAATGTTATCTGAAATTGGTATATTGCCAGTAAGGTCAAGGATTTAATGCTAGTCCATTGTCTTTTTCTTTCTAATTTAACTTGGTCTGACAATAAGTTAATGGGTGTGGCTTAAAAACCCCAGATCACATGGGTGTAACTGGTTGGTATTTAAGCAAAGAAAAGAGCTCTTTGTACTGGAGCAGGAAGTGTCTGTAGTATTCACCAGTCTCCTGGCCTGCAGAGAAAACAGAAACATGAGCACAGCAGGAAAGGTAAGAAAAATAATTTTTTACTTTTGAAAATATATTCTCATTATGTAATATACAAAGAGATATAGTATTTAATGAATAATTTAAAATTCATATTTAAATTATATGAATTTAAATTATATATGAATTATATATTATATAATATATATATTATATATTAATTAAATTATATGAATTTAAATTATATGAAACAATATATACTGAAATACAACATAGATTATGTGTTTCAGGATGCAGTGTATATTGAACTACAACTGAAATAGGCTATTCCTAAATATCTTTAACAAGAATGTATAGCCACTGTACCTGTTAAAGTCTTTATTTCCTATATTAAATAAATGTGCTGTAGTGGTAGCCAATTGTGAATAACTCACAAGTCTAAAGTTATATATTTTTAATCAAGAAATTATCTTTACTTTAAGAAAACATGATTTAAATATGTGTTTCTTTTGTAATCATGTTCTTTTTATAGACACAGGAAAATTAGGTTTGACAAAAGTTTTATGAGAAAATCTGATTCAGGGGACTTTTAAATATCCTTTAAACCTGACTATGAAGTCTCTTTAAAAAGGCACATGGATCTCAAAGCATTAGAATCAAGTTCAAGCAAGCCAACATCAACATGCAAATTCTGATTTTTCAAAAGGTTCAATTGTGGCACAATCTAGGAGCATTCCATAGAAATCCTATAGAATAATCTTTTCTCCATAAAAAAAATCGACATAATTTTACAAAAAAATTATACTGATACAGTTTAAGTTACTTGTTAGCACTTGGAACAGAGATATTTGGTTCTAAGCCTTCCATAGATTCATGCTTATTTGTTCAATGTGCTTACAGGTATAGAGAAATGCATGTGGTCATTCAACAAAAGAATTCATGTTATTTAACTGCTTAATTACAAAAGCCTCTACAACTGTTTCCAGTACATTTGTTGTGTTAGGAGTGGGTCATACAACATAACACCTTGCTATGAAAACTCAATTTAAAGATATACACACTGCATGACAGAAGAGTCCTATGTCAATAAAATGGTGGGCAATCACATGGGTAGCCAATTGTCAGTTTTCTTATTCCAACTCTATTTTCATTCATTACTGGTTAACATTTATAATGGCATATTACATTTCAAATGAAGAAGAGTTAGAAAAAAGAAAAATTAAGTTTGCCAAAACTCAGCTTAGAAGAAATAACAAGTTCAGGAAGCAAAAGTATAAACCAAATGTATTAATGAAAACAATAAATGATAAGCAATCAATCCTTCCCTTTCAGGTGCGATATCCGTAAGTTTTAGCTTTGTGATAACACTTCATTTATGTTTACCCTTCCTGCATTACATTTTCCTCAAATGCTAAATCACAATAATAATTATACTTGCTTCATAAGGTGGTTGTGAGAATTAATTAATACTGTAAAGCACTTAGTGCCTGGTACACAAAAGTAATTCAATAAATATTACTCACTGCTCTTACCATTGTTATTGTTATTATTTAGCCTTTTGTAAATTTGTAACTCCAGGAGGAAAATCTGTACCCAATCCCTGGCAAAATACCTTTGAAACTGAAATCAGTCAAGGGAGAAATAAAGTGGGAGAAACCTGTTTATTGCTTACAGTCATTCACTTCTGTTTGCAAACAGGCTGCAAAAAGGGGGGCCCCACCCAACATCTACGGTCCAGATATGCCCTTCCTTGCCCTTGTAATTACCTATTGATATGGAGATGGCTACTTCTCTACATCCAATAACAGCACCAATAAATTCATGATAATCCTCAAAATGGAGGATTCAGCTAAATTCAAAGTCCAATGCAGATTTAGTCCATAGCTGGCCCATTCCACAGGCAGGAAGTAGCTGAACAGTTAGGAAGTTCAATCATCAAGGAGCAGCTGCAGTCAGGGGCAGGTCCAAGGCCACAGGAAAAGTAGAAGAAAATAACATTAAGGGCAGTAAGATACATGTTTTAATGACACCAGAATAGGCAAATCTTGTCCATGAGATAGGATGCATACAACAGAGTGGTCCTGTGATAGGACAGTGGCAGGAATGGGATCTCTTCCTGGTCTAGTATACCAGACTTTCACACCCCTCCCTGTGGGAATTACAGATGGGTCAATATATAGGGCTATGGGAGGTACATGCACTGGCCATAAAGATAAAACAAAACATCCCCATAAGATGCTCTTACCTCCCAGACATTTTGGGTACACTACCATGATCTTTGGGAGTCACCCTGCTGTTAATCCAGGAATACACATGAGACCAGTTCCAGGCATTTTCCCCAAGGTGCCAGAAGAGTCAGTCATCACTGGTCCATGTGTCAAAATGTCCAGAGGCCATGTCCACTCAACATTGTCTCCAGGGTTTAATGTAGCTAGGGCTGGCAGCAGGATGTTGCTCTGCTGGCCATATCCTGGCTTCAATAACTCCTCTTTGGTTTGCACATACACTTGTATAGGTGAGGCAGCAATGTGTGTTAGCATATCCACAGGGTTCAAGGCTCCTTTTCAGGGTTTGTCATTCAAATGCCATAGCACTGTCCATAAGCAAACTAACCTGCACCAAACACTACTGGTTTCTGACTTCAGGCCAGATTTCAACAAACCCTTGTACCTCTCTATCATGCCTGCCCCAGTAGGGTTATATGGCACATGAAACTTTCACTTTATTCCTAATTTCTGTGCCCATTCTTGTAATGCATGTCCAGTTAAGTGGGTGCTTTGATCACTCTCAATCACCTGCAGCCAGCCATAGGCTGCAGAGATGCTCTAGGCCCCTCTTGGTGGTTTGCTGATCTGCACAATGTGCAGGAAAAGTAACCAACAGGCCAGTAGGTGTGTCCACACAAGTCATTACATACCAATATCCTTCTGATATGGGCAGAGGCCCAATATAGTCTATCTGCCACCTGACAAGGGTTATCAGCCCCTTTACTATTGTCCCATGTTGCTGCGGAACTTCATTTAAGTCCCTCTTAGAGCACACAAGGCACTCCTCCCGGGCTCTGCTGACTCCATCAAAGGTCAATGGCAAGCCCCACTGACAGGCTACAGCCCACATTGTCTTTTGCCCCATGTGCAACAAATTGCTGATGTAACCACTGGGTTACATCAGAGGCAGGCTTCCTTCTAGCCAGCACACCTGGGCCAATGTGTCTGCTTCATCATTTCCTGGGGATGCCAAAGGCAAATGGCCAGTCACATGATATATGGTAACAGTCTTAGTCTGACCAGAGGCCCATAGGTCTTGCCACAACTCTTGCCCCAAAAGGGCCAGTGACCAACCATCCAGTTGGCATGGTACCATGTTGGTAGCCACAGGGTCAAGCCCCAATAAATGGTTCACTGTCAGTGCAGATGACTATAGTGGAGGGCTCCTGGGTTATCACAAGCCATACTGCCCACAACTCAGCCCACTGAGGGCTCTTCTCTTCTCCGTCATCCATCCATATTGTCTCAGTCTTAGATGGAAAGCCACAGCCCTCCACTTTGGGGGTTGCCCACAACTGGAGCCACCTGTATACCAAACATCTTCAGATATAGAGGCCTTTGCCTCCTGACAAGGACTCTTGGCTACCAATGGCTCAGAAGCAAGTTCTTCCTGCTTTCCACTGGTATACGTCACTGGCACCAATAAGCGTTGGAGTTCTCCACTTAAGGGGCTGATAGAGAGGGCACTATGCTGCCACTTGGCCAGTGTAGGCATCTGTGCCATGCCACTCTGTAGCCTTTTAGTCCAGTCTCACACCAACCTAACAATGGAATAGGTAGTTATTACCTTGTTCAGAGCTATTCTGGTGATGCACTCCACAGCCAGCAAGGTGTGGTACACAGCAGCCAGTTGCTTCTCTATCAAGGTGTACTGGACCTCTACTCCTTTCCATAGCTGTGACCAGAATCCAATAGGTTGTCATGTCCATTCAAACCACTACCAAAGACCCCATCCATAACCATCTTCAGTTACATGAACATCTAGCTCACAGGGCCTTGATGAGTCTATTACATTCAAGGCCTATTCGGCCCTGCCTGCTCACTTAGCTATACATGTTTCATCCCAGTCTCACCTGATGTCCTTTCATACCAACCAATACAAGGGCTTCAGAATTTGTGCCAAATGCAGGATAAACACTGCCCAGTAGCCCAAAAGACTCAGAAACTCCTGTAATACTGCCACAGTGGTAGTGGTTGGGAAAGCCTGGACCTTGTCTATTACTGATTCTGGGAAAACTTCAGTTTCCCCCAACCAGACAACCCCTAAGAAGTTTAAAGGCAAACCAGGGCCCTGAACCTTGGTGCTGTTTATAGCCCATCCTTTCTCCTGTAGATGTTGCAGCAGACTAGGAACTGCCCCTTCTAAATCTGCAAGAGAATCAGATATGAGCATGATATCAACAGTATAGTGATACAGCTGCACTATTTGCAGTTTCTTCCATGTGTCCAAGTCCTGGGTTACAAGCCCATGACAGATGGTAGGACAGTGGAGGTATCCCTGTGGAAGGACAATGAATGTTCACTGTTGGCCTTCCCATGTGAAGGTAAACTGTTCCTGACTTTCCTGTGCTATGTCAATAGAGAAGAAAACATTAGCAAGGTCTACAGCATAAAGATACATCCCTAGTTCATGACTAAGGGTGTCCATAAGGGCTGCTATAGAGGGGGCAGCAGCATGCAAAGAGGGGGTGACTTTATTAAATTCCCTGTAATCAACGGTCATACACCAAGAACCATCCAGCTTTTTTACTGGCCACACTGGGGAATTAAAAGGACTATGAGTGGGCTTTATAATGCCCACCTTCTCCAACTCCTGTAGAATTTCTCCAATTTCATTGCATTCCCCAGGAAATTTATACTGCTCAGAACTTATCACCTGCTGAGATACAGGCAGAGCTACAGGCAGGTGCTGAACATGTCCCCTCAGAACTGACTTTACCACATGTACCCCTCAGTCTGAACTCACCTGCAGTGGTCTCTACCACAGGCCTTCCAGGATATATACCCCAAAAATATATTCAGGGATGGGAAAAATGTACACAGTATAACCCTTTGGGGATAAATGCCCTATCCCCCTTTCTTCACTCCAATTGCTTTACCCCCATAGCCATCTATCACAGCAGGGGTCCTAGGAAAAAGCTCAGGGTTGCCATAAATCAGAGCATATTCAGCCCCTGTGTCCACCAGTGCCAGAACATGTTGTACATTCATGGGGGACCAATGAACTGCTTATTCTACATGTGGCCTCTGTGGTCCCCACCAGTCCCCCAAGGTGGGAGCCTTGATGCCCCACTCAGTCAAACCATGACACCCAATCATCCTCCTATGAGATGAGTACTGTCCCCAGGAAGTCTTGCAGGGACACAGGCTGGACATTGGGCTTTGACTCTGGCTTCCAAGTCCTGGATCTCAGTGGCTGGAACTGCTGCTCTGGCAATAATTGGTGCTACAGTTCTAACAAGATCCTACTGAGCTGCCCATCATGTTTTTCTATCACTACCCTGGCCTTTATCAAATCAACCTACATCTGGGTCCTCAAGACCTTCATGGGGCCCTTTGCACCTCCCCTTTCAGTCGTAGCCTGTACTTCCTTCTGTGCTCTTATTGTTTCAACCTCCCCCAGATGTGCTAAAGTACAAGTAGCCTCACTTATGGGTTTCCCTATGTGGGGGGCAAAAATAGTCACTAAGGACCCAAAGAGAGATGGGGGAGCTGTACAGAACGCCAGATTTCCAATTCTTATGGCGAACAACTCCTCAGTGGGGTCCTGGGGGTCCATATTATAGCTGTTATTTTTCATGCCCAGCTCCCATAACACCTGCTGGAACTGCATATGTTTTCTAGCTAGTGGGTAAGTATGGTAAATCACCCTGATTAGGCCAAACTGTGCTGATGGCTGCTGTCAGGCAATCCAGAAGCACCTGATTCCCTGAGGTATGACGGGCACTTTGCAACCACAGCTGGAGGGAAGGATGAGTCATCAGGGAAGCCAGTCTACCCATTTCATAATCTGACACAACAATGTTTTCTGCCCCCATATCCCAGAGACACAAAAGCCATGTAGACAGTGGTTCCAAGGCTTCTGCCAATACCAAACACTCAGGTCCACCAGCTCATCCTGGGTATAGAGGGAGAGCATGAAGTGCTCCACAACCTGGGAGGGGGAAGCTCCTCCCCCTGAGGAGCCCATGGTGCATTTTTATTTTCTTAATTACAATTGGATGGGCCTTTAATCAAGGAGAATCTGGTGCCTCAGGCAGTGGCCTTGGCAACAGATCAGCCCTCGGCCCCAACTCCTTATCCTCCCCTGACATCTGCTCTACCATCTCCAGATCTGAAGGCACTACACTCTTTCTTCTGCCTCCCCCACAGCCTCCTGCAATGTGGATTCTCCTGCCACCTCCTCCCTCACTTCTAATATATCTTCCAGGAGCAAGACCTATCTTCTCAATAACTGTCTCTCTTACTTAAGGGCATCCAGTAGGTCATTGCCCAGCTCCTCCAAATGATGCCAAAATGTGTCTCTCTCCTCAATAACCCTTTCCACTATCTCGAGAAACAGACATCCCACAATCCCAGCTGGTACACAGCCACTCAGGGCTTCCATCTCACAGAGGGCTAGTTCCACAGCTTCCAGTGTCTCCACCCTTCCCCAACTCTGGGGAGGCCCCACCCTTCTAGGAGGTGCTTTAACCTAGACCAATTCCCCACTCGGGGCTCCCCATTTGGAAGCTCCATGGATAGGGGGCTCCCAGGTGAAGTCACACCCTGTACTGCTGCAGCCACTGGGGCCTCTCCACTATCCACAAGGGGGATTCTTGGTATACCCCCACCATCTCTAGAGGCAGCCTGCCCAAGGGTCACACCCATGAAGACAGATTTCAGGTTCAGAGGTCCTCCTGACTACCTCCAGATGTAACTCTGGGGATAAAATATTTTTCCAGCCTGGGCAAAATACCTTTGAAACTGAAATCAGTCAAAGGGAGAAATAAAATGGGAGAAATCCATTCATTGTTTACAAGCAGTCATCCACTTCTGCTTGCCTGTGTCTGTCATGTCCTGGCAGCAAAAAGAGACCCCACCCAACCTCTCCAATCCAAATATGCCTTAGCTCCCCCTTATAATCACCTATTGATGTAGAGATGGATTACCTCTCTCTACCCCTTGGGAACACCTATTAATATGGAGATGCACTAAGGCCAGACAAGAGATTCTGGAAATATTGCAATTTTACCCATATAATCTTACTACCATGGGTAGTGAAAAAATAAGGTCAGATTGATCTTAATTCTCTGGATAGAATTTTTGTGATTTGAGGAAAATTAGTCAATTATGAGTCAACTGACCCTCAATATTTCCATTTGTAACATAAGACCAATAATTCAATAATACTACCCTAGTAGCTTCACTGTGAGGTTTAAAGAGCAAGAATGTAACTACCCAGCACAAGCTATAATGTGTGTGCCATATCATAGGTACTTTATAAACAGGACCTATAGACCACTAGTGTGTGATTTCCAAGTACTTTCATATTTATTGTGGCTTTGACCATGGCAAATACTCTGCAAAGTGGGAGGATTTGACATATAAATAATAAAAAGGAATTTTCAAAAGGATAAATTTCAATCGAATTTTTAAATATTATTTGTAATTTTATCTAGAAAAGATTCTCTCTAGAAAAATCTCCCTTATCTGTATAAGCTTTGAAACAATGAAGACAGGTTTTATATTACATTCCCAAACATTAAAAATTTGTATTCATCTTTAATTTTTAAGAACATCTACAGGTAAGCTGTGCTAACTAGAAAAACACCATTACCTCATTTAAAAATATATACATACATATGCAAGTCTGGGTCTATGGCTTTGACCTCTGCAATTTTTGGCTCAAATCTATTCTGGAAGGAATCTCTACCCATAAATTAGGTAGCAAAACAGAGCTGCCAAACCTAACTTTTCAAATGAGTGATGCAAACAAACAGCATGCAGAAGTAGTGTGGAGAGAAAACCAAAGGAGAACAAGTAGACAGAGAAAGGGAAGACGTCCAAGGCAGGGAAGCAAGCGTGCCACTGGGGTCATCAAGTCAGACTGTTTGGCTTAAGCAGAGGGTTGAGCAAGGGGGCAACAGATCACTTATGTGAACAGATACTGAATCTGTGTTAGCAAAATAGTGGTGATTTAGAACTTCATGTACAAGCCAACAATTGTTGGGTAACAAATAAGAATGGCCTAAAAGAATGTATTACATTTTGTCTCAATATCTCATTGTTGTTAATTCTGTTTCTCATTGTGTTATTGCTTTATACATTCTTTTAAAAAGGTATTTTTATTTTCATTGCAAATCAGAGGTTACTCATTTCTATGGAGCACTTTATAGGCTGTCCAAACATGAGGCTAGATGTTGCAAGTAAAAAGATGCAAGTCAATACCTGACTTTAACAGTGAGGAAAAACTGGTATCATTTTTTTGTTCAATTTCTAGGTAATAAAATGCAAAGCAGCTGTTTTATGGGAGTTACAGAAGCCCTTTTCCATTGAGGATGTGGAAGTGGCACCTCCTAAGGCCCATGAAGTTCGTATTAAGGTGAAACAATTTTTCCTCTTCTACTTAATTTTAAGTTTAGAAAGTTCAGAAAATAGTAAAAAAAAATAGAAGCACCTTTTATATGGTGCCTCCAACCAATAGAATTCTATTTATTGTCAAGGAAAGATATAAATACAAATTGCTACATTTTAAAAAAGAAACCAAAGAGTATATAAGATATAATTCCCAATAAAATTAAAAAAGAATTTATATATTTGTACAGGAAAAAAATCAAGATTTAAAACTCATTTAGTATTAGATGGTGGAACTTGAGTGACAGTTTTCTTGGTGCTAAACTGCAATTTCTATTCTATTAAAAAAATATGAGTTTTATATATTACGTAAGACCTGAATATTTCAAAACAATTATTTTGCAGATTATTCCAAATTATTTAATATAAGAGAGGAAAACAGAGGAAGGTTTTAGACTGAATAATCTCAGAGGTAAACTGAATCTTATATTTCAGAAGAGTAGGGAGTATTAGTAAAACCCTTGAACACTCTTTAGAAGTCCAATTTCAGAAATGGATTAAGTTTCTTATGTTAAGTCCATATGAATATGTTAAGTCCATCTAAGAGCCATAATTGTTCTGAATCTAATTCCCTTTCCTTCTCCCTGTAGATGGTGACAACAGGAATCTGTCGCTCAGATGACCATGTGGTTAATGGAACCATTTTCTCCCATTTTCCCGTGATTGCAGGCCATGAGGCAGGTGGTATTGTGGAGAGCGTTGGAGAAGGGGTGACTACAGTGAAACCAGGTACAGAATTCAAACTTGGGGAATGTGCCTCAGTTCAGGACCCCAAGATCATCCAGCCTGGCTGATGAAACTGAGGCAATGAAGGTCACAGTGGAGCTGGGACTTGAACAGAGGTCTCCTTTCTTCCCTACCTGCCTGACTCAAGCACATGCGCTTTCATGCACTCATGAATTCTCTCCTTCAGCAAGTATTTGTTAAGTACCTAATAGATTCTAGATGTGAGGCACCAGGTTAAATCTTGGGGATAACATGAAGATCAAAAGATATCCAGTGCCTGCCAGAATAGAGTTCATAATCAAATCATTTCCATTTTAGCACTGCTGAATATTGTCTTCTGTCAGATCTAAGATATCTACAGATGGGACAAGGAAAAAGATGTAAGTCTCTTTGTCCTAAACCTCTAGATCAGTGCATGGAAACTAGTCTGTGCTGACTTCACACAATGGCTGTTGAGCTGCTGTGACTGAATCCACATGATCTCCTCTTAGATGGGAAGTGGAGCCCATTCATTGGTTTTCTTTTCTAACATGACCTCCCCTCCTGAGCACAGAATGCAATGAAAGAGAAATGAAATAGAATGCCACCTAGGAAATGAAATGGAGGAGCCATACCAGAAGGCATCCTATAGTAAATAGGATGTTTTATTACCTTTAACCATAGTTAAATGTGACTGAATATAAAGTATGTTTTGTCTTTAATATTTATTTTATCCTAGTTTTATTATGTATTAATATAAATATTAATTAATATTATTATTAATACTTTTAAAGGTTAAAGGTGAATATATAGAAAATTTCCAAGCCATGATCTCCATATAAAATTTATCTATTAAATGTGATCGTCCCACCATTTTTCTGGGTCTTGTGGATAGGTAGCAGAGATGAATAAAAATAAAAACTATGTTTAATTCTAAAATGTCATTTTAGCCTATAAATTCAACCTCCTCTGTTACCAAATACTTAATTGACCAATGAACAGAAAATAATAAAATAGATGGTCTGGTTCCAGCTCTTAGTATTTTCTTCAGTTAGAAATAAATTAATAATAAATGACACCCTTATTTTTTACCCCTGTTCCCTCCACTATAGCACAAAAAATAGATAATTCCAAAATATCAGCTACAAATATTTGAAAGTCACTTCTTATCCTAAAAGAAAGTGCCCAACTCACTGCTGGATTTTTTCAAAGGATTTTCTTAAATTCTTTTTTGTTCCATTTTTAAAATGTTTCCTTTAAAAGAACTGAAATTACAAAAACAAGCCTTTATTTCACAGTGAAGATCAGCATAGTCACTTTGAAAAGCCAAGGAATGCTTATTAGAACATTCATTTTTATTTTATCCCAAACGATTACAACATAGTGGATCTCCCTGACATCTACCGACTACAGCAGTCTGCTCACAACTAAAATTTCTACTTACAGTGAGAATATTTGAGGTTTAATTAAAGGGTTATATGAGATGATTCATATAAAACCCCCAAGAAAAAGGGCACAAAAGAAAAGATGACAGTTAATACAATGGAAATAACTTCTAAATTCCAAGTTTTTTCCCATATTTGTATTTCGTGTTTGGGAAGCTTCAGGCACATGTAAACACAAACCAATACAATGCTGGCAGGCAGTGACCAATGACACAGTGGTGACTGGGCCCTATTTCTTGGAAACTTTTCAAGGAGACATGCCTCTAAGGCATATGCATATGCCTTAAGTTCTTGCTCTTCTAATTCCTAGGTAGAATTTTAATTTCTAGAATTTGTTTTATCCCCCTCCAGGTGATAAAGTCATCCCACTCTTTATTCCCCAGTGTGGAAAATGCAGTACTTGTAAACACCCAGAAGGCAACTACTGCTTGAAAAATGCGTAAGTTTTTGATACTCTCCTTACACAGCCTGATTTGTATATCAGTTATGCTCATACCTCACGCCCTTGTGTGTCTGTGTGTTACACGGACCAGTATGGGCATGCCTCGGGGGACCATGCAGGATGGCACCAGCAGGTTCACCTGTAAAGGGAAGCCCGTCTACCACTTCCTTGGCACCAGCACCTTCTCCCAGTACACAGTGGTGAATGAGATCTCAGTGGCCAAGATTGATGCAGCTGCACCACTGGAGAAAGTCTGTCTCATTGGCTGTGGATTTACTACTGGTTACGGGTCTGCAGTCAAAGTTGCAAAGGTAGGAATAACAGTGGGTGATAAAATGGTTATCTTCGGACTTTCAGCAATCAAAAGAAAAGCAATTTCTCTCAGGAATCAGAGATCATTCTTCATAGATTTACTGGTACTTTCCCCTTGCTACTATAATGACATTGGTATAATCCCATAGAATTTAGGCTGTCAACTATGAGTAGAAAAATGGCCTCAGAAGGAATTGAGAGGATATCATAGAAAATATATCTATTTATCACAGATGAAAACCTGTTGATGCTTAGCTAAGACAAAGTAAAGATGTCATTTTCCATAGTTATTCTTCTATATATATATATTATTTACATGATTACTAAATTTTAGATTTGGGGGCTCATTCAGTCACTCATTCTAAGATTATACAGCACCAACATGCATCAGGCACAGTAGGTTCTGCTAGGTTCTGAGGCAGAGGCAGCAAAAGTAAATGTATTTACAAGGGCTGCCTTTGAGGAGCATCTAGTTCGTGGATCCTCTATTCCCAGAAATAGGGCCAACAGTAGATTCTAAAGTCTTACTCCAAACCAAGAGGCACCAGCATATCCACTCTGTGGATCCCTAGGGGGAAAATAATGAAGCTTCAATGACATAATTTGCATTTATTCCACCCAGTAGGAGATTTCATTGCTACATCTCCTTGCCTGCCATGAAAACATACATACACACACTTCAGGGGTGGTAGATTTTTAAGGAGAACTTGTTTAAAGGCTCTTCTTCCCAAAAGGCTGAAAATCTAGTAGTATCCCTACATTTTATAAAATGGAGGTCCAGAAATATAAATCTATTTGCCCCAAATCTCACAGGTTGTTAGTATGAGAACTGCAACTACTCTATCTCTCAAAACTCCTGCTGAATCTTAAGCCATAATACATAATTTCCTGCACATTTAAATCACAAGCCTTGTATTTTTCTAAGGTAAAAATTGGTGTTACACCCTAGAGTATGATAACTTGGAATGGGAGGACATTTTACCTACACTGAAGGTGGACAGACAAGGTTTATTAAGCAGTCCCTTGTCAATTTAAACAATTAAGAGCACACATTTTCCAGATTTCTGTGGCTCTAGCACTAAGTCCCATGTGCAATTGCATCTTTTGTTTGAGCAGGTGGTCTAATTGAGTCTACAAGCAGACAGAAGCCAATGACAGTCCTAATAATGAATTTTATCCATTATTAAAATATAGACTGACTTTCCATTACACTGTTGTTCATTAGTGCATTTTTAAAAAGAAGGGATGAAGACCACTAAGATCACGTTGGTCTCAAGCTATATTATCTTAAAGTTACCTGTTAAATTTCCCCTGATGTTAGGTTTTGCTTTAAGCTAAGGATGACTCATATGCTGGTCATGATACTGAAAGTTAATGAACCAAAGAGTTAATTATTGAGGGTTTGACTGGAGTATTTTTTCAGTCACCTAGGATGACCTTTTCTACTTATTTCATTTCACCAAAATTTCATTTGTATAGGTGTGATGTACTGAAGTTGGCTATCAACTGATGTGAGCCATCTCTTCAAGACAGGAGTCACCAGCATTTGGAACTCAACAATTATCCAGGCCACTGGCTCCCAGTTCAGCTTCCCATTGGAGTCACTTGGGTTCTGGGTCCCACCTGAAGAGTTTCTGGTGGAATTGGTTATAAGCTGTGACCTGGGCATTGAGATGTTTTAAAGCTCCCTAGATGAATCTAATGTCCAGGAAAGTTTGAGAACCACTGATCTAATTCAACCCCTTCAATTTAAACATGAAGCCAAAAGACGTTTTGACAGCAGGTTGGACATAAGAATTTGAGTAGCTCCGGACAACAGACAAGGCATGGCACTTCATATAGTTTAGGCACCTTTAAACAATCATTCCTATTGCTTAACTTAATGCATTCTTGCATTTTCTGAAAACACAGGTCACCCAGGGCTCTACCTGTGCTGTGTTTGGCCTTGGAGGAGTCGGCCTATCTGCTATCATTGGCTGTAAAGCAGCCGGAGCAGCCAGGATCATTGGGGTAGACATCAACAAAGACAAATTTGCAAAGGCCAAAGAGGTGGGTGCTACTGAGTGCATCAACCCTCGGGACTATGAGAAGCCCATCCAGGAGGTGCTGCAGGAAATGAGCGGTGGAGGTGTGGATTTTTCATTTGAAGTCATTGGTCAGCATGAGACCATGGTATGTAACATGAAATGTCAAGATACCTGCTTCTGTGGCAGAATATAAATACTATATATAAATATTTTTAAACTGTAATGACAATTTTGCATCTCCTGTTTGTTACCCATATTGTTCAATTTATGATTATGAGAAATCTTTCATTCTAGCAGCTAGGCAAACCTGACTTAGGTAACATTTCCCCTTTAGAAAGAGAAGGGAGTTTTTAAAAATTGATCCATTGTAAATTTACTTTAATTCTTGGAAAAAAGTTCAAGTTCAATTAAATATAAATTATACAGACTCTGTTCCCAAATTGGCAAGTTTGATTTTTTTCCCACATTCTTAACAAAAACAGTTTAACAATGTTTTGCATTTTTTTAAATAAATTCTGATCTTTTTTCATATATCATACTTTGGCCAAAAGGAATAATGAGCAATTTCAGGCACAATTTTAGTATCATTTTATTAACAGAAAATATTACATTTTACCATTTGCCACATTACCCCATTTTACCACAGCAGATGGCACAGGGCCTTGCACATAGTAAGTACCCAATATCTAAGAGTCGGACTAAATAGTTTTTTAAAAAGCAACAGGTTTTTTCCAGCAAAAGAAATTAGAGATTCATATCTCATAGCATTGTTTATGGATCATATGAGACAATACATGCAAACACTTAGCACAGTGCCACCTACCAGATATTTATCTCAATAAATGTCAGTTGGTGTTATTAGTAGGCAGTACTGTTTCCAGTTCTGTGGTGCTTACATCATGTTTGAATGTTATACATAACATTATTTTCAAATAATTGCAAATATCATCAATTACAATGAGGATCACATCTCCAGTTATATTCCACCTAACCAGAATTCTAACCTGATAGCCACATGTTCTGAGGTTATCCCGTTTTCCAAATATACTCCAAAATCAAAGGACTAATCATTATATACTGCTGGGGGATCCTAAACAATTTTCTCAACTACACAATGTGTTTAAAAACCTGACTGGAGGGGGAAATTTTTCCTTAGAAGTTCCAGAATAATTAGTATAGTTTAAAGTAAAACCAATATATGTTTTTGAGAGATAAAAGCACATTTGCAACATGTCCATTTTAGGCCAACAGGTATATGAAAAGGTGCTCACCATAGCTAATCATCAGGGCAATGCAAATCAAAACCGTAATGAGATACCACCTCACACTTGTTAGAATGACTATCTTCAAGAGACGAGAGATAAGTGTTGGCTAGGGTGTATAGAAAGGGAACCTTTATACACTGTTGATGGAAATGTAAATTGGCCATTATGTACAGAGATTCATCAAAAAATTAAAAATGAATTATCATATGATCCAGCACTCCCACTTCTGGGTATATACCCAAAGGAAATAAAATCCTTGTATAATCCAAAGGAAATAACTATCTTGAAGAGATATCTGCACCCATGTTCACTGCAGTATTATTTACCATAACCAAGATGTGGAAACAACATGTGTCCATCGACAGATGAATAGATTAAATAAATTCTGAAAGATATATATATTTTATATATATATAAGTGTTNATCTCAAAAAGTTGAAATCTTAGAACCACTGAACAGAATGGTGGTTGCCAGGGGCTACAGGGGTGGAGGATGGGGAAGAAATGGGAACATGTTGGTCAAAGGGTACAAATTTTCAGTTATGAGTAAATTCTGGGGATCTAATGTAAAGCATGGCAATTATAGTTAATAGTACTGTATTCTATACTTAAAATTTACTAAGACAACAGATCTTAAGTGTTCTCACCACACAAAAAAATGGTAACTATGTAAGTTGATGGATGTGTCAGTTTGACTGTGGTAATAATCATTGCACATTGCATATGTATATTAAATCATCACATTGTACACCCTAAAATAAATCACATTATACAACCTAAATATAGTAATCATAGCTCAATAAGGATGGAAAAAACAAAATAAATCAGAAAGAAGTATCTTTTTTAGAAATGGACAATAGTATAAGGAATGATTAAAAGAGGAAACCATAAAGTGGACACAAGACAAATTTTGATGATGTAATTACCTTGTATTTGCTCACTATCAAGTATGAGTTCAAAATATCTACTTAATAAACATATAAAAAATAAGTTAATCAACTCACAGATTTGCCTGAGACTCATGTGATAACAAAACATTAATTTTACTTGAGGAATCAGACTTTACAAGGATATACATTTGTAGTGATGTTTGCCTTTTTATTACTTAATAAGGAGAAATTAAGTGTGCACAAATTCATTCATCCATTGTCTCCCTCAAGAATTATTTTCTGGACATTTCCTTAAACCACAGCACTATCCTAGGCACAATGGGGAATGAGGAAGCAAAAGGAATAATCTCTATCCTCCACATATTCACAATTTAGCTAAATTAATATAACATGATAGTATGTATCATTAGTAGGGCCTATCAGAAAATCCACTTTAATGATACTAAATATTAATTTTATTCCAGATGGCTGCCTTGTTATGCTGTCAAGAGTCATATGGCGTAAGCGTCATTGTAGGGGTATCTTCTAGCTCCCAAGAGCTGTCTATGAACCCTATGTTGCTATTAAGTGGACGTACCTGGAAAGGAGCAATTTTTGGTGGTATGTAGTTAGATTTGAGGGCTAAATTCCTGTTAATTTCAGGGTTTCTTCCCTTTTCAAGGGATAAGACCAGGTTTTAAAAGGGAATATAAATTAAAATTCCTTTGCATCTATAGGCTTCAAATCAACTAGATTAGTGGAACTAATACACAGAGAAGGTCCCAAGACAGACTTCTCTAGTGTCCCTATAAATTAATAAGGATCTTTCAGCACCTCTTCTTTTGATATTTGTGACTGCACAAGATATCGGCATACCTCATAAGACCCAGGAAATCCATAGCAATAATTTATGTCTGCTGTCATTGCCCAAATTTAGACATTTGCTAAATTGGTTCCTTGACTATGGGGATAATCATTCATACTATAATTTCTCTATGAGAAATTATAATAACAAAGAACACTAGTTTATCTAAGCATATTTTAAGGAAAAAAACCCTAACTATTGCACAAAGATATCAGAAGCACTCTCTTATTAACCTCAGTAATAACGGTGGAATATGTGAAATGTAGCACTTTCTATAAACTTTCATTTTAATTCTATGTGGAAAGCCTCCTCTCCAATTCCCCTCTTACCCTTTACTGAATAACAATGATGTTATTTTCTTTTCAGGCTTTAAAAGTAGAGATTCTGTCCCCAAACTTGTGGCTGATTTTATGGCTAAGAAATTTCCATTGGATCCATTAATAACCCATGTTTTACCTTTTGAAAAAATAAATGAAGGATTTGACCTACTTCGATCTGGAAAGAGGTAGATTTTTAACTTTCTTCTTTTATGGTGGGGAGTTGAATAACAGAAGAAAATGTGAAAGGGTAAAAAAAACATTGGAGTCCCTTGGTTTTCCATTATTGGTTCAGTTTTTGCATGTAGAATATTTAAGATAATATTGTGAGGAGCTAAGAACAGTTGCTTTGCATTTCCTGACCTGCTGAAACCACATTATGTTGGTTACAGGGAATCTGAATAATCCAAGCCACTCAGCTTTATTTACAACAGAACACTCACCCTTGCAAAGAAAAAGATTCAGTCACACAGTCATAATTATAACATGAAGTCACTTCAGCCTCTGCCTGGCCACCTAAAAAGATTGACTATTAATAGCTGTACATTTAAATTCAAGACCTACTTATAATGGGAATAGGTGGAGCTACCTTGGGACTGCTTTCTATATAGCCATTACCATGTTTTCATTAAAAAAATGACTTATTACTCTTTTTAGTTTATAAGGAACTTTACATAAATAAAAATTATTAATCAGGGAATGGTGTTTTAGATGTTTAAACATTACAGTTTCTTCAAAGCTTAGGAAAATAAGCCAATTCCATTTTCTACCTCTAACAATTAACTCTTACAACCACTTAAAAAAAACTTTTTTATTTGCATATATATAGGAGACACAACTAGTAACAGGCATTATCTGACTCCCACCTTCTAGTTCCAAAAGCCCATGCTTTTTCTTCTGCCTCACACTTCTTATGACATTTTCAACTTTAAGTAGTATTTCCTAAGCACCACACATAAAATATATTCTATTAGACACTTGGTTTGATAAACATTTATTCAGAAAGGAAATAAACTAGTTTATCACAGAGCAGCAGATTCCATCCTTTCTGAAAAGCAACTTGGTAATTTCTATCAGAAGCCTTAAAAGAAAACTTAGATCTTTCGACCCAGCAATTCTATTTCTGGGAATCTGTTTTACAGAAATAATCAGATATGCAAGCACACCTCTACTTAAGCATGTTCATCTCTTATGTATAATATCAAGTAAGGGAAAACATCCTGAAAGTGCAACATTAAGGGGATGGTTAAATAAATTCCAACAATGTACTAGAAAACAACAAAGCTGTTAAAAGAAATTATTTCATAAAATTGGTAAATTCTCATATGTAATTTTGTTACACAATAGAGAACACAAACATATATACAATATGATCTCAAGTTTTCAATGAAAGCAGTAAAAATCTTTACATATGTCTAGAAAACTACTGATCAAAGTTCAAGAAAATATTAACACTGATTATCTCTAGGTTGTGGGATTGCAGGATAGTTTCACTTTCTTACCCTGTCCTTTTTCTACATTATCGACATATATTTTTCTTATGTATATGTATACACGTACATGAAAATTTTTAACATGAAGTCTATCTTTTCCTAAAAGTTTTCCATCAGAAGACAGTTTTTAGAAAGGACATTAGTTTTAGTATAGATGTTATATTTCTGACCTTCCCAAGAATGAAATCTCTCTGAATACAAATAACTTTTATTACCTAGTTCTGAGAATCCTTGAACATTTATCAAAGCTATATTAAACCTTCTATTTGTCTTAACCTTATTACATGATCAGTTCCTTCAAGAAAGTTACCTACCATCTTGTAATTTTTGCAAATTTGTATTTGGTTTTAAATCCAAGCACCCAACACCAGATGTGTGACCCAGAGCAGGTTACAAATCTAAGTCTCAGTATTTTTAATGTCTAAAATGGAAAAATACTAGAACCTGCCTCATAGTATTGCAGTTTAAGTTGAGGTTTAAATGATAAAATGCATGAAAAGTATCTACAGACTATGTGAAAAATAGCAAGAACTTATGCCATGTCATAACCCACTGTTGTTTTGTATTCATTATTATGCCAGGCACATAGGCTCCCAAAATTTATTTTTTGAGGATGATAATAAACAGTGAAGCCTAAATGGTAGTCATATTCTGGATGTCATGATTGAGCTTGAGATTGGAGAAAATACAAGACAAAACCCAGAAAAGATGAACTGCCCTATACTTGACTTGACTTGAATGCATGGGGATGGGAACGGGATGCTGGGAAAACAGGCTGCTTTTCATTAAGACACATTAGATGCTCCTTGGCCTCTAACATGGAAGAGTGTGAATTATCTAAACATTAAGTCAATTAATATCTTCTATTTCATGTTTCAGTATTCGTACCATCCTGACATTTTGAGACCATACAAATACCTTCACTTGTGGCAGTTTTCTAACTCCTCCATCAACTGGAACCATCAACCAAACATCATTAATTTTGTTCCTCAGAGGTGCTATCAATAAATCACACATGGAAGCTTCCCCCCAAAAATAAAAATTGATGTGAAATCATTTTTCAAGCAAATGTGTAAAATCCAAATGAGAGTTAGATGAACCATCAGCTAAATAACTGAGTTCAGGGAACTTTTCTTCTTAATCATTCGACTGATGTTTAATAATGTAATCTTTCCTATTGAAGAAGGGTATTTCTTTTGACTTCATGTTCATTTTGCATCTTTATCACCCTTAGTCACTGAAACCCAGTGGAGGAGATCCTCACTATACTTGCCCCCCAACATACACATGATGACCTATTGTGCTTGAAGTCCTGCACTTCTACCTGTATTTCCACTGTCTGTATTTTCCTTTTATGAAATGTACCAAAGCCTTAGGGTAAAAACTATAGTGTGGGAAAGAATATACTCAGATTTATAAGTGGAGGAGGTCCAGAACTTCTAAATGCAGGAAATTTCTTTTTTTTTAATTTGAGTGTAGATATATACAGTACTATATTGGTTTCAGGTATGCAACATAGTGATTCAACATTTATGTACATTATAAAGTGATCACCATGATAAATCTAGCTGCCATCTGTCACTCTACAAAGTTGTTATGATATTAACTATATTTTCAATGCTGGGAATCTGATAAAGAAATGTCTCATACTTTTAAATGATGGGAGAAATGTTTCTATTGCTTTTATATTCTTTACAATGAATATATTCTTTTAAATAAAAGTTTCATGCTACATGTGATAATTGTTAAGTTGATATTAAACATGAAAACTGAACTATTTCTGTAGCCATAGTCAAAAACCCTGTAATCTTTACTCATGACAGTATTTTATTGTTTAAACAATCTTAGCTTATTATAATTAACTGAAATGAGTCATAAGTAATTAAAAAGTAATTGGTGGCTTAAAATGTAGGGATAGGAATGAAGCAGCTGTGGACACAGTGTATAAATGAGTGACTAAGAAACAGCACAAACATCCAATGTATTTTCTAAGCAAATATATGTATACATACAGATGTACATATTTCCACAAACATTTTCAATCTAAAACTTTTGTGTTAACTACCATGTCTCAAATCAAGTCTACAACCAGGACTTAGTTTAATTTTTTGAATATATGAAAGCCAATGGTACCTATGTGTTACTGCTGTACCACTTTCTAGGACAGAGTTGCACTTTGAGCTTTATCTCTAAAACTGTAATGAAGTGCTTATTCCTTAAAGAGTTTTAACTATCTTCAAGAGTGTTGTTTCCATGTCTATATTTGTCTGATACTGTAGAAAGGTCTTTAGACTTAGAGCAATTGATCTACCCCTTACTTTGTGACCTTCAGCAAGGTACTCTATCTCTTTAAGTCATTGAGTCCTTTGTTTTAAAAAATTACCAACCCATCACAACTTCATGAAGATCAGATGAGATGATGCTAGTGAAAGGGCTCTGTCAATTGTGAAGTGACTGTAAGTGTAGGGAATAGCTTAAGTTCCAAACTCTTTTCATTTTCTAGAGATGTGGTAACTTGAAGTAATTGCTTATGATTTCCCAGCTCACATTCTTAGGACTATTTATATCTTGATTAGTTCAGAAAAATAAATCCTTCTATGGTGTTATCAGCTGGGCCCAAATGCTGCCACAGCTCCAGTCATCCAATTTTTTTTCCGTCTGCTCCTGCGTTTTCAAACCAACCCACATCTGGGTCCTCTTGACCTTCATGGTGTCCTTTAAATTCTTCCTGCAAGAAGCAGACCGTATTTCCTTTTGTGCTTGAGCCAGAGAATAGAAGCAGAGCATGGAGTGCTCCACAAACTGAAGAGGGGGTTGCACCTCTCCTGAAAGAACCCATGATCACCAAGTCCTTCTGGCTTTCCATCAGCTTTCAACCAGGTGGGTTCTCAATCAAAGAGGGGCTGGGCCTCCACCCCCACCAGTTCGTCAAACCTCCACTCTTCCGATTCTGGGGCTGACAGCTCCATACATCGCTCTCTTGCCCTATGGCACCTGGCAGCCTGCATGCTGCTGCTTCTCCTGCCGCTCCTTCTCAGGCCTCTTCCTTCACCTGCCTGCACTCCCAAACTGCTTTTTCTCATGCTGCTCCTTCTCAGGACGCTGCTCCTTCTCATGCTGCTTCCTCTCAGGCCACAGCACTTTGTAGTGATGCCATTTCAGTCAGCTTTCTCTTTGGGTGAACCCCAGTCCTCCACCCCTTCACAGTACCACATGTCCACAGGGGACACTCGAATGTCTCCCTGACCATAGGTGCAGCCTGCTGAAACACTCCTTCCAAGAGTGCAACCTGTTCTTTTTCTTGGTCACCAATGAATCCTGCTGACTATGCCAATTGTCTTGCCAGTGGGTTTCAGCCCCAGGCAAGTTCACTATGGATTCAATGAGACCAAATAAATGACAATGGAACATTATTGGGGTGAAAGGGTTTATATTCAACTTTATTCCTATGGTGGCAGGTCAGTCACTAGAATCCTGTCCACTCAGAGTAGTCTGCATGCAGCAAGCCGGTCTCTGCCTCTAGGCCTTTCTACCCATGCAGTTGTCTCAGTCTCTGTCCTTGGCGCTGCTACCACTCCAGCCTCTGCTCTCCTGCAGCCATGCCACTGTGTCTCCCAGAGCACTAGGTAGATCTCTTTATAGGGAGTCAATAACAAGGTATTGCCCACACGTGAGTAGTGAACTAGCCAACCAGGGCCAGGTGAGAATCCTGGCCACAGGCACCTTCACTTTATCCACATCTGTAATATAAAACTCTGAAAATAGGTTCTGGGATTACAAATAAAACACTAATTCCAGAGACTGAGGTCAGCAAGATGGTGGAATAGGAAGTCCAAGTTCTCGTTCCCCTACTCAAGAACACAAAGTCAAGAACAATTACATTGAAATGGGTATAAAGAGCGATTTACCTGCATCAGCCTCTTCCCAATGCTAACAGCTCAGTGCAAAGAGGGAAAGGCCCAACCTGCAACTTGTCCTTTCAGGGGAAAACGGTGGACTGTGTAGCCAACACCAACTTTTCAGAGCCCTGCCCAAGGGACTTGGTTTCTGTTTCACCTCCCTCCTTGCTTGGATCACAAGCAAAACCAGCAGAGGTTGGAGGCCCTGAAGCAGCTGAGAACAATGGAACAGAACTGCTTGTGCAGCTTCGCTGACCGAGATAAGTGCTCAACCTAAAACTCCTCTGGGAGAAGGGAGGAATAAGGGAGAAAACTGAGTGAAGTCCTGGATTTTCTGAAAGTTGCTTAAGGGTCTAGTTCCTCTCTCATCCAGTTCATCAATCAGAGCACTGATGAAATGAGCACAGTTGGGAGGCCTGGGGGTAACAGAGAATAAGGGAAAGTACAGATCAGATTGCAGTGGCAGGCACAACTTTGCAATACCAGGAGAAGGCACATGTGGATTAAGTGAAGGTTCCTATGGCCAAGATTCTCAAGTAGCCCTCATTGGCTAGCTCACTACACATACATGGTCAATATATTGTTATTGACTATATAAAGAGCTCCGCCAAGGTGGTATGGCTGCAAGACTGCAGGAGAGCAGAGCAGAGGCTGGAATGGTGGCAACAATAAGAACAGAGAATGAGATGGCTGTGGGGCTAGAAAAGCCCAGAGGCAGAGAGACCAGCTTGCTGCATGCAGACTCACTCTGAGTGGACAGGATTCTAGTGATTGACCTGCCACTGTGGGTAAAAAGTTGGGTATAACCCTTTCACCCCAAGAATGTTCTACTGTCATTTATTTGGTCTCATTGAATCCAAAGTGAATTTGCCCAGGGCTGAAAACCCATTGGCAAGATGATACACAACCTGAGACTTCCCCCAGAAAGGACAGAGAGGAGAAGAGTGTGCCTCCAACACACCAACTCTTCTGAGAGCACCTATGGGTTGGTTTTGTCTTGCTTCACTCCTCACTTGGAGTGAGAGAAAATGAGAAGAGGAGAGAGGGTATCCAGAGATTAGGCACTTCAAAGGAATATCCAAGGGATTGAAAACTCTCAGGCATGAAGCAGGGAACTGGTGGCCACTGAGAGCCAGAATAATAGGGTGGCTTGCTACTGTAAAACCAGAGAACTTGCAGAACCATGAACAGAGATTGGGGGACCAGGATTACAAACTGAAAAAAAAAGGAAACTGACAAATTCCTCTAATTAGCACTTTACCCAAAGAAGCCCAGAGAAAACCCAATTCAAATAAAAAGTTTAAGGAAAAATGTCTCATATAAACAAAAATTGAGGTAATTTGATGCCAGTAGACCTATCTTGTAAGAAATATTAAAGGAATTCTTTATAAAGAAATAAAATCGTATAGGTCAGATTGGGATCTATGTACAGAAGAGCATCAGAGAATGAATAAGGAAAAATAAACAGAATATACATTCTTCTCAAGTGTACACAACATTCTCTAGGGTAGATCATATTTTAGGTCACAAAACAAGTCTTAACAAACTTAACAAGCCTGAGATTATATCAAATATTTTTCCTGATCACAATACTATAAAACTTGAAATCAATAATGGGAGGAAAAGACTCAGAGGGAGAACATTGTGGAGTAAGAAGGTAAGACAGAAGCTTCCACACACACCAAGAAAGCAAATACAACTAACCAAGAAAATGATCTGAAGACTCAGAACAGACCATCTACACCAGGTGAAAAAGGGAAGACCACACTGAGAGTATAAAGTGGCGGAGCCAAGACTGATCAGGACTGATCAGGGGGAGGGATCAAGCCCTCCCCCATCCCAGAGTACAAGCGGGAGGGAGGGAAGTGGGGAAGGGAGGGGATAAGTGCTCAGGAATCCTGCACACCTGGCACTGGATATGCTCTTGAAACATGAGTCCACATTGCACTGGGCTTTAGTGATTAATGGGGCTGGACACCAGGAAGAGTTGGAGCACTCTGGGAGGCTGACTCGGAGCACTCTGGGAGGCTGACTCTCCTTTCACTTGTAGAGGACAAACACACTCTTCCAGTCCTGCTGAGTGAGGCCCAACACAAAGGCAACAGTATGAAAAATTTACCAGCAGTGGGATGTGCACCAGACGGGTAGGAGTCAGAAAGAGCTCTCTCCAGAGGAGAAAGGGCAGGTGGATGACACTTCTCCAGCCCTCCCTCAGCCTAACTGGTTGGGTGCTCATGGGAGCCAGTTCCAAAAGATCCATCTCCCTTGTTGGCTGCTCAGCCCACGACATGCTTTCCTACATACTTGCACTGCCAGGACCACTAGCCTAGCAACAGTCTGACTTTCTGACTAGCAAGCAAAGTAAGGATACTTTTCAGGCTTTCACAGCCCTCCTTCAGCCCAATTGGAGGGATGCTTTTGGGAGCCAGCTCTAAACTCTCCAGTTCCCTCACTGTTAGCTCAACCCACAGTGTTGCTTCCTTGCATACCTGCTCTGCCCACCTACCCAGCCCAGTAATGGATGCCACTGCTGGCAATCAGGAGGAGGGTGGTCCCACCCACAACACCACCCAGCAGAAACATCTAGCACACAGAGGGCACAGAGAGGCAAGCTATCTCTGCTGACAGAGAGCAGACACTGATGGCAGACAGGCAGCCCCACCCACAGCCCACCAACAGCAACTACAGCTCCACTGTGAAGGAGAGCCAGGCACAGGTGAGCAAAGAGTCCTGAGACTCTTTGGTGTCTGGGCACCAAAGGACTCCTTCTTAATAAGGCCATTGCTCTCCAGACCAGGAGGCATAGCTGACCCATCTAATACAAAGGAAGAAACACAG